GACTGGGTGGGGACTGCACCTGAGCCCAGGGGGGTGCCCTCCAGCGGCCAAGGCGAGAGCCCCCCATTCTCACCTTCCACTGGGCGATCTGCTTCGCCGTGAAAGCTTTCTGGTTCGTGCATTCCTCTTCCAGCTGCCTCAGTTTCCTCACAGCTTCCTGGAGCTTTTTCTGGAGGAAGAAATGGAGTGACCCTTGCTGACCACATCTCCCTTCTCCCTCTGCCGGGAAGAACCTGGATGCAGTGCCCGGGGCTCTCTCTGTCCCTGTCACCCTCACCCTCCTCTCGGCTAATGGCCAGGACAGCCTGTTCGGGGACCTAGACTGAGCTGATGGAAGGCTCGGCGACACCTGCCTTTCCCCACACGCCCCCACCCCCTGGCTGTGCGTTTGCTGTGGGCCCTCTCACAGGAGAGCCCTCTCTTTTCTCAGCACTCCTACATACCGTTAATATTTTTTCATTTTTAAAAATCTATACTAATAAAAGGGTAATATGCAAATTGGTCACAATGCCATAGTCATGACTGGATATGCTAATTAGTTTTGACCTAATATGCTAACTAGTCACAACGAGTATGCAAATTGACCATCACCCCAACACAATAATAAGAGATGATATGCTAATTAGCCTTGATATGCAAATTGGTCGTGACCAGTATGAAAATTGACCATTCCTCCAACACACTAGATGGACTGCAGGGGAGGGCAATTGGGGGCAACCAGGCCTGCCTGGGAACACTTAGGTGTCAATCTGGCTGGCAGAGAAGTGGTAAGGGGGTGATCAGGCCAGCAGGCAGGCGAGTGGTTGGGAGCCAGCAGTCCTGGATTGTGAGAGGAATGCCTGACTGCCCGTTTAGGCCCCATCCCTGGGGCAGTCGGGCATCCCTCAAGGGTTCCCAGATTGGAGAGGATGCAGGCTGAGCTGAAGGAAACCCCACCCCCAATGCATATATTGTTATTATTTTCAGAGAGGGAGAGAGAGAGAGAGAGAGAAACATCATTGATGAGAGAGAATCATGGATCTGCTCCTTCCTGATCACCCCCTACTATGGAGCGAGCCACAACCTGGACGTGTGCCCCGACCAAGAATCCAATGGGGATCTCCTGGCTCCTAGGTCAATGCTCAACCACTGAGCCACGCTGGCCGGGCCACATGGTTAGTGTTTAGGCTCCTTCAGGACTCACTTCTGGGAGGGATCCCCGAGACCACCCGCACCCGGGTCCCCCTTCCCACCCTCCAGGCCATGGAGGCCGGGCAGTCCTTCCACTGGTGCGTCTTCCCTACTGGACGGCAGGCCGCCCACGAGGTGGCTCCTGGTCCCTGTGCTTTCACCCCCCCACGCGCCCCTGCACACGGCGCCGTCTCATCACATGCACCCGAGAGGCGACAAAACGTGCAGGTGCGGCCCTGGCTGGTCGGGCTCAGTGGCTAAAGCCTCATCCCGGTAACATACCAGTCAAAGGCATGAACCTCGGCTGCCGTTTCCGGGCCCTGGTCGCGGCGCCTGCAGGAGGCAACCAATAAATGTCTCTCTCAGATCAATGTTTCTCTTTCTCTATCCCCCTTCCTTCCATTCTCTCTAAAAATCAATGGAAAATATCGTCAGGTAGGATTATCAAACAAAACAAAACACCACGCATGTGTGGGTTGGAGCGCAAGGCACACTGGAGCTGGGACCAGTTCATCACGCAGCCGGGACCTGGATGAGTTTGACCGTCCGGGGAAGGTGGGGCTGGACAGGCAGGACTTGACAGGGAGGACCCACCTAAACCTTCCTGCCCCTCTCTTCCTCCCCCACCCTACCTCCTGCTGGAAGAAAGAACCACACGAGGAAAGCTAGAATTCAGGGTCCCAACCTTGGCCTCCGGGCTGGATGATGGGGGTATTGGCACCCGAGGGGGCACTGGGCTGGATGAGGGGGGTCTCGGGGTGCAGGAGGGGACACTGGGCTGGATAAGGGGGGTCTCGGGGTGCAGGAGGGGTCACTGGGCTGGATAAGGGGGTCTCGGGGCGCAGGAGGGGTCACTCACCCTGTAGCCGGGGCTCGCGTCCTTCACGAGCGCCGTGTTGTGGCCCTTGTGCCGCCCGTCACGCTCACAGCGCCAGCAGATGAGCTGGCCGTCGTCCTCGCAGAAGAGGTGCAGCCGCTCCCCGTGCTCCTGGCAGGACAGCTCCTGTTCCTGCTCCTGCTCCTGCTCCCTGAGGGCGGCGATGAGGCTGCCCAGCTGCTTGATGGGCCTCAGGCTGCCTTTCCGGAAGGGAGCCCGGCACTGGGGGCAGGAGAAAGTCTCCCTGTGTTGCTGGCTCCGCTGAGAAGAGTTCAGGCCCATGAAGCGCAGGATGCAGGCCTGGCAGTAGCTGTGGCCGCAGCTGATGCTCACGGGCTCGGCCATCAGATGCAGGCAGATGGAGCAGGTGGCCTCCTCCCGCATCTTCTTGCTGGTGGAGGCCGAGGCCATGCCTCTGCCAAAAGCTGCAATGCCGGACCCAGAGGCTCCCACAGCACTCTCAGGAGGGAGTTGCCTGGAGCGGCCACTTCCCAGGTCCTGGGCAGGATGTTCAAGTAGAAATGAAACTACCTGTGGTTGAGGGCGGAGCGATGCTGGGTTTGGGGAGGAAACCAGGAATTGGCCCTAAGCATTTGCAAGAGGCTGGGCTGGGCCCTAAGAGTTTGCACATGGCTGGGCTGGGCCTGGCAGCTGGGGGTGGGGCG